AGCAGATCAACAAAAATGACTTCAGCTGACCTATCCAGAATACAGTCAACCCTAGACTTATGAACTTAATCTATTCTGGAAGGAAGTTTGTAAGTCGAAAAGTTCGTAACTCTAATCAGCATTTCCCATAGGAATGCACTGAAAACCAATTAATCATTTCCGGCTGTTTTTGGTTCTTAGGTCAAGGGGCGGTTTGTAAGTCAAAGCATTAGTTCCCATAGGAACGAATGCAAAGCTGGTTAATCCGTTCCTATCACCAGGAGCAGAATTTGTTGTTGTTGTTGTTTTTAACCTAAGATGGGTTAAAAAAGTCAGGAAACCATGGAGGGAACAAACAAACACTGTTTAAAAAGAACACTTTTTAAATCAAGCACTTTTTACACCAAAACAGGCACCTTTTCAACCAAGCACCTTTTAAATCAAAACAAGCAGCTTTTAAAGCAACCAAGCACGTTTTTACCCAAGCAGGTTTTAAATCAAACTGAGCTACCTTTTACCCAAGCACCGTTTAACCCAAACAAAACACATTTTAAACTAAATTTTACATTTAATAATGACAATACCAGGGAGTCCCAGGTCTCTCTTCCCTCTCTCTAACTGCTTGGACGAGCGAGGAAGCAGACAAACAGCCTCTTCGCTAAGTGAAAGTTCAAATTTCCCGCTTTCCCTGCCTTCCCCACACATTTTTTCCCTTTCATAACTCTAATCCAAGTTTGCAAGTCGAGTCCATATTTTCCTATCAGAGTGGTTCGTAAGTCGAAATGTTTGTAACTAGGACCGTTCGTAAGTTGGGGGTTGGCTGTAAAACAAGACAACAAGGAGAAAGACAAAAAAAACCAAGGTCTTAATCTGTTGACCAGTGTTTCTGGAAAAATTATTTTGAATTTGAACTGACTATAACTTACAACAAATAAAGCATACACAAGGGGAAATACTCATTAGTCTTTTCCTATAAATGTCAGAATCCATTTACAGGACAATAGTTTCCACTTCCACAAGAACTCCCAGAAATACAAGCTGGATTTCGAAGGGGCAGAGGAACTAGAGACCAAATTGCTAACATGCACTGGGTTATAGAGAAAGCCAGAGAGTTCCAGAAAAATATCTACTTCTGCTTCATTGACTACGCAAAAGCCTTTGAATGTGTTGACCACAGCAAACTATGGCAAGTCCGTAAAGAAATGGGAGTGCCTGACCACCTTATCTATTTCCTGAGAAACCTATACGTGGGACAGGAAGCAGCAGTTAGAACTGGATATGGAACAACTGATTGGTTCAAAATTGGGAAAGGAGTACGACAAGGTTGTATATTGTCTCCACGCTTATTTAACTTATATGCAGAATACCTCATGCAAAAGGTAGGACTGGATGAATCCCAAAACGGTATTAAGATTGCCAGAAGAAATATCAACAACCTCAGATATGCAGATGATACCACTCTGATGGCAGAAAGTGAGGAGGTATTAAAGAACCTCTTAATGAGGGTAAAAGAGGCAAGTGGGGAAAAAAATGGTCTGAAGCTCAATATCAAAAAAACTAAGATCATGGCCACTGGTCCCATCACCTCCTAGCAAATAGAAAGGGAAAATATGGAGGCTTAGACAGATTTTCCTTCTTGGGCTCCATGATCACTGTAGATGGTGACAGCAGCCATGAAATTAAAATTCTTGGGAGGAAAGTGATGACAAACCGAGACAGCATCTTAAAAAGCAGAGACATCACCTTGTCGACAAAGGTCAGCATAGTCAAAACTATGGTTTTTCCAGTAGCAATGTATGGAAGTGAGAGCTGGACCATAAAGAAAGCTGACCGCCAAAGAATTGATGCTTTTGAACTGTGTTGCTGGAGGAGATTCTTGAGAGTCCCCTGGAGTGCAAGGAGAACAAACCTATCCATTCTAAAGGAAACCAACCCTGAGTGTTCACTGGAAGGACAGATCCTGAAGCTGAGGCTCCAATACTTTGGCCATCTCATGAGAAGAGAAGACTCCCTGGAGAAGACCCTGATCAGGTAGTCCCACCCGAGTTAAGCAGCACTAATTTTCTGTTGTTCTGTTAGTTTCCTATGAGAATATTGTTTGCTCTTATCATAAGGAAACAATTTGATTGTTTCCACCGCATGCAATGGGCATGGTTTTTTATTAAACTATCTGTTAAACAATCTTGGGTAACCCAGTTGTTCTTAGACTGCAAAACCCAGAAACACCAGGCAGTAGAGCTGGTGGTGAAGGCTTCTATGAATTGCAGTCAGCAGTAGAGCTGGTGGTGAAGGCTTCTAGGAATTGCAGTCCAAAAACAATTGGGTTACTGAAGGTTGGGAACCACAGTGTTCAATGGTAATAATAATACTCTTAGAACCGCAGAGCTGGAAGGGACCCTCTCGATCATCAAGTCCAGTCTCTGTCAAGGAGGCCCAGTGGGGAACTGAACTCTCAATCACTGGTTCTGCAGCCAAATGTCTAAACCACTGAGTTATAAAGCTCAAGGGAGGAATTAAATTACAATTACAGCTACCCCAGGTTTAGCCTGAGCTGTGACTCACTGCTGTCTAGACTGAGAGCTCACTCTAAATCTTAGACTCACAGGTTAGATCTGAACTCTAGAAGATATGCAGCATGAAACCGGAAAGGAGATGAACAGTTTACATACTACAGTGGGTTTATTTATTTCAGCTCATATTTGCAGTAAACATGTGTGACTTCAAATATGCACAAAGTACTGCAGCTGAGTTAGCCAAAAACATTTTGCTGCCTCAAGTAAAGATGGCTCCCCCCTTTCCCAAGTACAGCTGAAGCTTTTTTCAATCTCATGTCCCCCCTACATAGGCAGTGACACACCAAACAGATCACCTAATTCAGTGGTCCCCGACCTTGGGCCTCCAGATATTCTTGGACTACAATTCCCAGAAGCCTTCACCACCACCTCTGCTGGCCAGGATTTCTGGGAGTTGAAGTCCAAGAACATCTGGAGGCCCAAGGTTGAGGACCTAATTAATACACAGGGCTTTATCTTTCAACATTTCTTTGCTCCTCCTCACACTCCCAGCATGCATTTGGTGCCTGGGCCCTCCACTTCGTTTTGCCTAAGGATTGTACCAGTCCTGAAAAATATCCACCATTGTGGTCAGGGAGCTCTATCATGAATTCCCCTAATGATGGAAATCAGTACAGTGTCAGAAGATCATGTAAGGTTGGGGGAGGGAATAAGAAACTCCACTGCTTTCTCTGAACACCTCCAAGGTGTTCTTTCCTTTGTGGCAGTGGTTTCCAACCTTGAGTAATTCGGGTGTTCTTGGACTGCAACTCCCAAAATCCCCGGCCAACTCTCACTGCCAGGGAAGGCTGCTGGGAATTGCAGCCCCAGAACACCTGGATCAACCAAAGTTGGGAATTATTGCTGTATGGCAGCACTTCTTGACCTTGTCTTTACTAGGAAACCCCTTTAAATATATTTTGTTGCTGTGGATACCAAGACTTAACTCAAGATTTAAAACCCTCAAGTGCATCAAACATTTATTTAGTTTCTCATGAAGGGTCTCATTGGCAGATATTCCTTACTATAACAGTGACAATTTTTAAGATGACTGGAAGAAGGGTGCACCCCCATCAACAGCATCCATTCTTTTGCATTTCCGTTTCAGCCAGAGATCCAATTTGAGGCTCAGCCAAAATGTATTGTTACGAAATTCACTGCGACAATATCGAAAAGTCAGTTTACCCGATAATAACCTAATGGTTTCATTAGCAGAAATCGAAGAAAAAACACGAGCACGAAGTCCATCTGAACACTCACTCACACTAACACCAACTGACTCTGGCTCTCTGACTGTATCTGTGCAGTAGCAAGAAATGTCACGTATTGTCTCTCAGCCACTTAGTGTCATTCACTTACATGTTCTCACCGTGTGCAGAAATATCAAACCATTATTTGCTATCAAACAGTTACAGTATTCTCAGAACCAATTTTTACTTTTTGTTTTTAATCGAGGCAGTAGGTTAGAAAAGCGAAGTTTTACACAAACAAGCACAGGAAATTAAGATTTTGTTCTAGGGTTCCTTTTCTTGCCGTTCTCTCTTTCTTTCTATTTTAACTGCAAAAGATCGTAACACTTCTTCAAGCCTTCATAGACCCCCTTCGAGGGCATTGTGGCTCCCTGGGGGTCGGCCATACGTATGCTGTATGGTAAAACCCTGACAAATCTTCCCAAACCTGGAGTGAAAGGGAAAGCCTGGAAAGAAGAGTCACACATGCATCACTTGGGTTTATGTGGTAGAACCTCACATTTTACAAATTCTTAGAGGGAAAGCAAAGGATTTCAGGTGCTTCCGGGTTACTGGGATGGGTGGCACAGCCTCGTTAAGTTTTCCTTCTTGGTTCACACATACGTCCCAGCACACGTGTATACGCCGCAGCAAGGCAAAAAGAGCAAACCCTCCATGTGCGAAAACGCAGCAGGTGACCGTCTCCCATTCGCCCCTCCCCCCAAAAAAACAGGCGGCACATTAGTTCTGGCACACACAAAAAAAGCGTTTCGCCTCGGCTTTTGGACAACCCGTTCCTAATCCCCGCCACGGCCAGCCCGGGGCGGAGCGGTTTGAGAGGAAAGCGCCGGCGTCTGAAGCCAGAGCCCCCGAAAGGTGCTCCCCCGTTTCTCCAGAGACCCGAACGCCCCACCTTCGTGGCCCCCCTCCTCTCCCACAACCCATCTTTCTGTATCCCTTTTCTCTGGAACAAGGGACATTCTGTTTTATCAGCTGACCCACGACACGTCCCTCCCTGGAGGGTGGGGGGGGGAGGCCATTCATTCAGCCGGAGGAACGCTCCGTTCACGTGGAAGGGTAAAGGGAACGCCGAAGCCCCGCTCCCCAAGGTAGGCAAAGAGGCCCGGTGGGAAAGGGACGCGCCGGGAACTTGAAGCGGGCCGCCGCCAGCGCCGCCGCCGCAGCCCCTCTTCCCGCTCCTCCCCCCCATTTCCTCGCCCGGGCGGCCCCTCTACTGTACCGTCTGTCACCGTCAAAGCGGCGTCGCCCTCGCGCGGCTGCACCTCCAGCCGGAGCGCCTTCGGACTCGGGGCGCCGAGCGGGAGCCCCTCCGGGAGCTGCTCCTCGCCGAGGAAGCGCAGCCTCACGCTGTACTGGAGCGGGCGGGGCGGCGCAGAGGCAGCCATGGACGGGCTCCTTTCTCAGCCCGGCCAGCCACGAAGCCGCGGGCAGGAGGCGGGTTGGGGGTGTGTGTGCGGGAAAAGAGGGCCGCGTCCTACGTGCGCGGGGCGCAGGTGGCGTCTCGGCCGGGCGCCTCTCCGCTCTTCTCGCGATCGGCTAGGAACGGAACCCACCCAGGAGAGGGAACGGGGGGGAAAGGAACGGGGGCTGCTGCGGCTGGGCTTCCCCTGGTAAACAGGCTCCCCATCTGAGACGCCTCCTACTTCGCTCTGACATTTGCAGCGAACCAGGAGCGGAGTTCTCTCCCCCGACTCACCCACCCCGCCCGGTCTTCCTCCACCTCCCCTTGCGAGGATCCCGCCAGCCAAGATTTTTGCTGGCGCGCACGCACAGCTCCCCGCGCGCGGCTCAGGTACGTAAAGCTCGGCCGCCTCTACGGCGAAATGTGCGCCGTCAAATCTCTAGGCGCGGTTAAGGAGCGACACCTGCCGGCGGCCCGGGAGGAAAAAAAATTCCTAGTCAGAAATAACGCAAAAGACACGTCCCCGGAGACTGATTGATTGATTTAAAATATTTTAACCCGCTTTTCTCCTTAAAAAGGACCCAAGGTGAGTTATAACAAATAACATGCAGTAATTATTTAAATTTAGTCACAATGACTTTATAATGACTAAAATGCGAGAAGGCATAGGCAACACCAAAACACATTCAAAGCTCTAAGGGGCAACAAGCCATTAAAAAAAAAAACCCACTTGGCAGGCGTTCAAGGGAAAACTTCTGGGAAGAGAAAGGTCTTTGCCAGCTTGTGGAAGGTCAGCAAAGATGGGGCCAGCCTGGCCTCCAGTATTTTCTTTCACAGTACTGAAAGGAGGGCCTTTCCTGGTGGCTCTTAACACTGGAGCAGGTTCCTAAAGAGAGTTGTGGTCCTTGAGATAGCCTGGGCCCAAGCCGTCTAGGGCTTTAGAGGTTAGAACTATCCATTTCAATTCTGCCCAGAAATGGATCAGCAACCAGTGGAGCTGCTGTCTGTAATAGGGGTTGTGTGAGCTCTGTGTCCAGCCCCAGTCAGCAATCTGGCTTCTGCGTTTTGGACCTGCTGAAGTTTCCTGACACTTTCCAGAGGCAGCCCCACATAGAGCGTGTTGCAGTAATCCAGCCAGGATGTAACAAAAGCATAGGTCCCCTGTGACCAAGTCAGACCTCTCCAGGAACAGGGGCAGCTGGCACACTAGTTTTAATTGTGCAAAAGGACTCCTGGCCAGAGCCGAAAACTGAGCATCCAGACTCACAGACAAATGCAGGAGTAATTCCAAGCTGCGCGCCTCGGTTTTCAGAGGGAGCATTGCTCACTCCAGCACAGGCTGCATCCCTGTTCCCTGATCTGCCTTTTGACTAACCAGGAGCACCTCTGTCTTGCCCGGTTTATTCATCTTCATCCAGTTCATTACTGACAGTAGACCCTGATCTAGAGCCAAAACGGCTTCCTCAGATTTAGATGGAAAGGAGGGATAGAGTTGGGTGTCATTAGCATACTGGTGACAGCGAACCCCAGGCAACCTCTCCCAGCAGTTTCAGGTAGATGTTAAATAACATAGAAGACAGAACAGAACCCTGAGAGATCCCCACAGGCCAGGAGCCTGGGTGTCAAACAGGAATCCCCCAGCACCACTTTCTGAGCACTCTCCTCCAGGAAGGACCTGCGCCACTGTAAAACAGTGCCTCGGAAGTCCCATCCCAGAGAGGTGGGCTAGAGGTCTCTGGTCAAGGGTATCAAAAGCTGCTGAGGGGTGCAGTAGAACCACTACCTGCTCCAAAACCTTTCCTAAGAATGGAATATTAGAGCCAGGTCAGTAGTTATTCAGTATTGCAGGATCTAAGGAGGGCTTTTTCAACAATGGTCTTAATATTGCCTCCTTTAAGCATGCTGGGATCCTACCCTTTTGTAAGGAGACATTCACAACTTGTGCCTGCTTGATCAGTCCCTTTCTGGCAGCATTTATAAGCCAGGAAGGGCACCAGTTCAGCAGACATGTGGTAGCTTTTGCCTCTCCAAGGGTTTGTCAATATCATCAGTTTACAGAAACTGACATTCATCCATCAACACAGGGCAAACAGGAGTTGTGGTGTTCACAGGGCCTGTATTAACCACAGCATCTAAGTCCGAGTGCATCCAATAAATTTTGTTTGCAAAGTGTTATGCAAATTCTTCACAGTAAGCTATAGTGCGGTCTGCCTTCTTTTCCAGCATGTAGTAGGCCCTTGGCCACCCAAAAGATGTGACCAGCCATCAGCCTAGGCTTGTCACTTTTTAAAATAGCTTTCATTAAAAGGTTTAACATCAGTCATTAGCCACACCAAACTCAGTGGTTAAAAAAATGAAAAATTGTACTTTCTTTATTACAAAGTAACAACAACTTGGGAAACAGATCTAAACTTCATTTGTTTTACAGTTACAACCTAATAGCCCAACAACACACCCTCCTTCTTCTGAGACACTTTTCCCTCTCCTTCCATTCCAGCCTTCCAGCCCCCTCCTCCTTGGGGCTCTCCTGTACAAGTCGGCCACATGCACGCACACCCCAGCCAATCACTTTGCTTCCCTGTTACCAGGCAGATTGGACAGGGCTCTCATCACAAAAGAGCTCTACTGGGCGACTCTGTGCAGATGGAATGGTGGCAGAGAAGAAGGGCAGGCAGTTTCTGTTGCTCCACATCAATTCCAGTGATGGTACACCAAAACTATTGTTATAGCAGCAATGTTTATTATAATAGTGTAAATATAGTGTATATGTACATATTGTATTGTAATAGTGTAGGTAGAAAAATTGAGGGTAAAGTTTATGGTTGTAGTTGTACCTAATGAATGCAGCTAAGATTGTGTGAATTGGTAAATGCATGTTCATTTTATTTATTTATTTATTTATTTATTTATTTATTCATTCATTCATTCATTCATTCATTCATTCATTCATTCATTCATTCAATCCCGCCTATCTGAATCACACAGGACCACTCTAGGCAGCTTACAACAACAGCAATTTACAATAAAATTAATACAATTTTAAGATAGAGAAAAGGCAAGAACGAAGTGAAACAGAGACTAGGGCAAAGGAAAAATGGGGAAGGTCAGGAATTGGCTGTGGGGAAGGCCTGCCAGAACATCAGTGTTTTTAATTGTTTTTTAAAGATACCCAGTGAGGGGGCGGCGCGAATGTCAGGGGGAAGGTTATTCCAGAGGCGAGGAGCCACCGCCGAGAAGGCCCGATTTCTTATCTTTTCTTTCCAGGCCTCCCTGGGCGTTAGGCTCCTCAGCCTCACCTCCTGACTCGCGTGAGTGACACGGGTAGAACTTGGTGGAAGAAGGCGTTCCACCAAATATCGAGGCCCTAAGCCGTTTTATGTAACCAGAACCTTTGTTTGAGTTGCTCCAAGCTTTAGGATACTAAACACGGGTAGAGGGGAGCACTCCAGCGAGTGGCAGACCTATATTTTGGGGGCCCTGAAGCTTGAACTATTATGGGGACCATTGCAATCAGCAACAAGGTCAGGACAAACACTGTTATTTTCATCAGTGGAGTTGTTCCATGACAGATCATCACAAATATTTAAAAAATGTGAACTAAAGTTGGTTCTGAGGGCCCTTTCAGATTAGGTGACCTGAAGCTTAAGCTTCATTCCTTTCATAGCAGATCCTACCACCTCTGTTTAGGATTTGTCCACTCTCATATACATGGAGAGCAACAAATCTGAAAGAGATCGCTGTTTGTGGAGCCTCTCCGTGTGAGTCAGGATGTGGGTTTCCTAAGTCCCAGCTCATGTGGAGTCTTGATGGGCTAAAAGAGGCTTTCCTCTTCAGAATCCCTAGGTAAGAGAATGAGGAACTGAAGCATCCCCCCTTTACCTGTGGGTCCTGTGAAATGTTGCCTCCTGTGCAGGTTGGCTGGAGCGTATAGGCCTGTTTTTGTTCTTAAGGGGCAACATCTGTTTCTTGTGACTAACTGATACTTGTGTAGGTGGCCACTTACTGTATTTTTTCATGTATAAGACCCCCCCCCCCACTTTTCTAATCCAAAACTAAGAAATCTAAGTGGGTCTTAGCAAGTGTAGGGGGAAAGGGATCAAAGCACTGCAGGATCACTTTGATCCCTGCTTTCCCCTCCATTTGTTTTTGTTCTCTCTTCAGCTTACTTCCATGTGTAAGACAACCCTTAATTTTTAGTCTAAAGATTTTAGACAAAAGTATAGTCTTATACATGGAAAAATACAGTAGTATCTTATCAACTAGCACCAGTTAGCTGCACAAACCGTACTGCTGGTACTCTCAGAAACTAGTAGGCTTGGCGGATGAAATTTTAAAGATAGCCACTTCCTGTAATAATGACTTCGTAATGACTACTTTGTAAATTTGAGAATAGTAGTTGTAATAAAAAAATCACTACTTTTTGTTGTTTTAAAAGTAGATTGTTATTAGTAGACTAATTTCTCAATTGACAGAATCCTATTAGCATTTGCGCAAGATTTGTACAAGTGCTGTGGCTAATTGCAGCTCACTGTCAAGGTACTATGGCATATCTTGGTCATGTGCTTGGTCAAGTGCCCTGTGGTGCAGACAAGATGGGCCCTGTTACCTCATCAATGAACTACAGCACATTACACAAACCTTGCATAAAGAAAAGACAAACATAATAAATAAATAAACACTGATAAGATTCTAGTCAATAACATATTATTAAATAATGTCGTTAGTTGTAAAGTGTTGTTTTAACAAATACTTAAAATACAAAAGTAGGCCCAGAGTTCCTAAAATGACACTGAAAAACAATGTTTTAGAAGGAACAAGTAAACTCTATTCCTCCCCCTATCCCCCCATGCTTCCTGTGTCTCACTAGGCTTGCTAGATTGCAGGCCTAAGGATAAAGACTGTCTTCTTAGTTACATTGTAAGCTGTTCTGAGGACCTTATTGTACCACACTGAGGGAGCTGGAAACAATGGCCTTATAGGCTCCTTCCAACACAATTATTCTGTGATTCTATGAAGGACTAGATATAAGTTCAATAAATAGCAACAACAAGTAAAATATATATAAATCCTGTGACATCTTCAAGATTAACCAGTTTTATTTCATAGCCCATTGCAGACTGAAATCTGCAGTCAAATACAACTAGTTATTGCTAAGGTGCCACAAGACTTGCTGTTTTCTTTGCTGCAACAAAATAAATTAGAGACTAGAAGCAGGATTAACCATGAGATTCTCCAAACCCAGATATGACTTTCGTTTTGCTTTCAGATCAGGGATAGTGCAGTGGATACGGGTGCAATCAAATGGAGATACAGCTTGCATTTTTGGACTGCTTGTGGCAGCTGCTTCCAGTTATATGATATATAACTGGTCACAAACCAGACAAATGCTGCTCCTGCCCAATCC